CATGCATGCGCAACACCAGCAGTGACAGCAGCAAGTGTAGCTGCGCACATATCATGCTCCCTTCCTCCCTCCCACGCACTCACCATGCTGGTGCTCGGCACACAACAACACTTACAGGCGATGCACACTCGCAAAGCAGCAGGATGAGGGAAGCGTCGAAGGGATACTTGTCACGCGTGCCAGCTGCACTCGCCTCACACATGGTATGTGGGTGGTGATGAAGTGGTTGGTTGTGTGTGTGATGGGGTGGAGTGACGGTGCTGGGGTGCGGTGAAGCGAACGCGGGAAGAGGGTTGATGGAGGATGATGGTCACATACACTGACACACACACGCACGCCCGTGGTGCGTGTGATGTCAATCACTCGTTCTGCTGTGCTGACATGATGGCTTGCTCTGTGCCTGTTGTGTTCTGTTTCCATCCACGTTCCCTGCAACCACGCACCCACGCACACACATATGCACGCGGGCTCGCATGCCGGCTGCTGCTGCTGCAACTCCCCCAATTCGCTGTCGCTGCTGTGCTCATGCAGTGTTCCCACATGCTAGCAAGGTGAGCCCATCATGGATGCTTTGGATGGCACATGGTACATGTGTTGTTGTTGCTGCTGTGGGTGTGCTTGGTGTTGCTGCTGCTGTATCTCGTGCACCAGTGTAGTTGCGCAGCTCACATGCCATGTGCGTGTGTGCGTGTGCGGCTGCAGGGGCGACTGCGTGAGGATGGTTGGAGGATGATGGGTGGTGCACACATGATGATGGGTTGGGAGGAGCAGCTGTGGGCACACACGTCCATGGTCATGGTGGGCACATCCAACCACAGCGACGCAGTCATGTGCGGTGTGTGTGTGTGTGCGTGCGTGTGTGTGTGTGTGTATATGTGTGTGTGTGTGTGTGTGGTGGGGCGAGGAGAAGGAAAGCAGAGGAGGGACAGGAAGGTGAGCACGTCTGCTTTGCTCACATGCCATACCCGTGCCTTGTGTGTGATGGTATCGTTGTGTCTTGTCGTTGTGTGTTGGTTGCATGGGCACCAGGGCCACATCAGTGGAGGGGAAAGCAGCCGCCATGAACGACCCCATCATCATCAACTTTCCCCATTTCTCTCTCCTTTGTCTCTCTTCCACCTCAGCTCCGCTGTCACCACCGCCATCACCGCCATTGCCATCGACCGCACAGCCGCCATCACACTCCGGCCGACACCAGCTCCAATCTGGCGTGAGTCAGACATTGCACATGTCACTCGCTCTGATGAAGAGGTGAGCATGTGTGTGTGTGTGTGTGTGTGTGTGTGTGTGTGGTTGTGTGTCAGTGTGGATGGTTGAAATGGGGCTGGCGTGTGGTTGATGATGCGTCGCTGTCAACCTCATCCCCTGCATTCTCTCCCATCTTGTGTCTGTGTACACACATTTCACAGCGTTGAGGAGGCGCGCGCGCGCGCGCGCGTGTGTGTGTGTGTTTGTGTGTGTGTGTGTTTGTGTGTGCATGGTTCATGCCAACGCCACCTGCACCATGGCGTCTTCCTTGGCCCACCGTGTTCCAGATGGTGTGCGGCACACTTGCCGTTTGCTCAAGGCTCCCCTCGACATGTGCAAGACTTATCGCCTCAGCTCAAGGGCACGCAGCTGGTGTTTCAGCAAAGAGGGCGGGCGGGGTCTGCCCGCGACTACTCCCCGAGACCCAAGCATGCAGGCCAAGACATTGCCGTGCCGGACCCCCGGCAGCCTTCATCCAGACCCGCACGAAAACGCGGCAGCCCAGAGCAGACACCATTGTGCTCGAAAACGCCACCACAACGACAAACGTGCACGACCTCACCACATTCACGTGCAGGGACGTCAACGCGACCCTTTTGTTGGCCTCCGTGACCCGTTGCTGTTGTTCTTCTCCTTGTTGGTGGCCTGCTTCTTTTCCTCCAGCTTATCCGCGTTCGCCCATGTCGGTGCGCGGGGTCCGGCCTTGCTCCTCCGGGGCACCGTTCCATCAGCACCACCCCTGCCCTTCTTCTCCTCCTCCTGCTCCACCAGCACCTTCTTCTTCTCCACCTCCTTCTTCTCTCCCTCCTCGCCCACCTTCTTTCTCTTTGTCTTCTCCCCCATTGTCATCCCTTTCCCCTGTGCCCTGGTCTTCTCGTCTCTTGCATCTGCCTGTTGCTTGCCCCTGGGGCGCCCTTTCCTTCTGCTTCTTCCTCCTTGGCCTGTTCCTCCTCCCCTCTTGGTTCTCCCTGCCGCGCCCTCTGCGACCATGGGCGCCAGGTCAATAAACG